AACTTCCCCACCACTTCCGCACCACCACTTCCCCACCACCACAAACACTTACCCACCACCACAAACCGCTACACTGGAGCCACCACTTCCCCTGCCACGGTCACTTCCCACACCGCGCACCTGCACGGGCACTTCCCCACCACCACCACAGACACTTCCTCGCCACCACCACTATAAACACTTCCCCGCCACCACCACTTCCCTGCCGCATTCCTCCACAGTGACCAACTGGTGGCACTAAGATGGGTCGGTGTTTCCTGGCTACAATATTTACGACATCAGGTGAACAAGGTAGCTTTTGCCTCTTGCTGGGATTTAAAGCGCTCATAAATCGTGTTTGGTTTAAACAAGATAAAATTATGTAAAATCACCAAGATATGGCGTATACATGCTATATCGCACGAAGACTAAACTGCAACACCCCCACCACAAAAGTAGCACTTGTGTGGCATAACAAGTAAAATCTGATTGGGTGCCTAATCTTTACGTGGTGGCTAATATGAGCTAAGGTTTGAGGCGCTGGAGTGGTTAGTTGCTTATATTGTTACACATACGTTTTAGCCTAAAGTGCACATTTTGTTCCCGACAATCATAGACCCATAGAACACTTATGGAATACACCAATAGGGCTGAAGGCCTTGTATACTGGTTAGAGACTATCTCTATTACGCCGACTGGGAACAACGCTTATAAGGTTTGATCTCAACGTTTTGATTAGGTGGTAATCTATTATTTCACTTAATCCTCTAAAACTGCATTGTTAAGGGCTCGTATAAATGCTAAACCGGATAGTATAGTCACGGTAGAAGGTGGAGTTAATCAGCGTGGTGGTCGCCTTGTTTACAGTACCTAATACCCATTTCTACAACTAAATCACGTTGAAATGGATTTCTACCCCAGTGGAAACAATCAAGATCATTCACTATAATTAAGTCCCAGTCTATCAACATTTCTATACAATTAATGGGCTATCAGATTGACGTATTGAATTGGAGAAGGAAGCTAAGTTGTAAGAGCTATATGCAGAACAGCACCTTATATTTTTCAACACCAACACACATGATGAAATCTGGCAATATTTACATAATCCTTGACAACTGGATGTATTAATTTAGAAGGCATTTTGGCGGCGTTAACTTCGTCACATCCACTAATCGCACTGGCCCGGCTCTCCCCTCCTCGTCACTGGCTGTCCTGATTACCAAAAGTTCATCCGCATCTCCACACACTAGGCCATCATGCAGTGCGAACATACCTTGTGGTGTTGAAGCGCATGATGTCTGGCGTCACTTGCAGACCTTAGTACGGCAAACACTTAATCCGGATGGCTGGCGTGGCTATTTGTTTTGCTGGTTTGACACCGTAAAAGTACTGATACCTTCCAAAGTGACAACTGAGAGCTCGACTTCCACACTTCCAGACGCGATCAGAGCTTCTATCTAACCGACGCTCACTTTGTAGCTGGTAAGGGACCGGATGGCCATGTAAATGCTCACTAACAGAAAAATTGAAGTTTAGCTACTTGAAGTATTGGAAACGTTGTTTATTGCAACGATTAACAAAAATCACAGATGGTTTGAAATGCGGCTGAGGGATTTTGCGACTCTGATTCAGCTTCGTTTGTGATGACCAGCCAATCAGAACTCTCGATACAGATTCAGCGCTTCGCTGGCGGTGACGGCCAATCAGAACAAGCGATACAAACGACAGGTTGACATATTCCCATAGGTAGAGGTTCTGCACTTCGGTGAATACATTGAATAAATTACGTAATGTCATGTGAATAATCCCAGGGTGCTGGCGCCTGCAAACAAAATTTAGCCATTTGGTATGTACGTCATATTTATTTTTATGAAGATACAAATTGGCGTAAACGAACCGAAATAATAACCACTAATTTTGGCCGCAACTGACACTGCTGTTTGAGTGAAGGCGGGCGGGGGAGAGGGGCGGGGGGTGGTAATGTGGTGTGTGTGATGAGGGATGATGATGATGAGGGATGATGAATGATGACGATAATGATGGCGTATATGCTTGATGACGACGATGATAAATAATGAATAGAGGCCGATAATGATGGCGTATATGTGATGACGATGATGATGAATGATGATAAATAATGGTGTGATGATGATAATGGGGATGATGAATAATGATGATGATTGATACTGCTGGATAGATTCACAGTTATTATAAGACAATTCCATCATCAACTTCTGAACACTTAGTTTTGATTTACTGGGGGGTGAGTTAGGTTTCATTTCATCCCACATTCGAAGCTGATCCCGTGCTTGGGAGATTGGTATCCCGCATCTACTGGGCAACGCTCTTATTACTGCATTATGCAGAAGACCCGACAGCAGCACCCTTATCCACTACCTCCTAAGGATATACACGGCACTTCCGTGGCGCCTGCTGGACCGCATTGACCCTCCTGGCCGGAAGCACGTGGGTCCTCCCCATACTGGCCAGATATTTAGTACCTCTTTATTGATTATGTGACAAGGAATATCCTTCCTTCCTTCGCAAAATGGGAATACTTTTGCAAGCCTTGTTTGCCGCTGTACATACTTGGCACCTTGGTGCTTCTGGTGATATTTGGCGCAGGAACACCCTGGGGTATCAGGGAGGATATCAAGGAATAAACATTTGAAATTAGATTGGATTTGGTCCAAATTGGCCCAGCGCTAGGTATTTGCATATAAGGTGAAAATAATTATATTGGAAATGTTGGTTTTGCTGTGTGATCCCATTACTGCGGGGTCTCGTATATCAGAGCTGCAGTCCCCCAGACACTCACTGCATGATGATTCCTTTAGAGACAGCTGAATACACTACCAACAATATATCATTTTATGTTATTTAATTATTTTCAATACGTTGCTAAGTGAATTTTCATTAAAATCAGACCAAAATTTAGTTACTTTCACAGTTGCTGTCAATGCTGTACGATTCATGTCTGTTATTAATTGCCGCTAGTCTCGTATGCAGCGTGGTGGTTAAATCGTGCTTTCTTTAATTACCCTTTGACGATGGAAAATCGAGTGAAGTATTTGCAAAACATCAACTTTTCCCAGCTGACATTAAATGAAAAGACTGAAATCAAAGCAAGAGGAAGACCTACACCAGTTTTATCCATTCAACAGAACAGTACAAGCAGGAACAAAGAATATACACGCCAGTTTAACATGAGTGTTTATGGCTCTGTGGTTGTGACGAGGCAAATACTTTATTCTGCTTTCCACGCTTATTGTTTGGTGGGGACTCGGCATGGACGAAAAGTGGTGTGACTGACTTGAGGCATTTGCCACAGAAAATAGTGAAACATGAGCAGTCAGCCAAACATATGAATAACATGATTAATTTATCGTTGCTGGGTAAAGTGAACATTGCAGAGCAGACACGCCGACTTTATTTTCAATTAATACTGGTCCATCACCACCTTCTACCACCAACACTACTACCATGCCCTGGGAATTCGTGGACATCAACTACAACTCATACCTGAGGTAGGTCAAATTTGTGTATCCTACTGTTGTGTGAGGCTTGCAGTCCCTCCATTTTATTTTTCACGAGCCGCCACTGACCAGGCCGATAACCCTCATGTATGTATGTATGTATGTAAGACTTATGCCTTACATGATTTTGGGCCCAAAAATAGATTTTGTTCAAAATCTCAGTATAGGTGCTCCTGAACATGCTGATTAAGGACTTGTTGACCAAAATTTTATATCTGGATTATTACCTGTTCAAATGGCTTTTAGAAAATTGTAATTACATTTGCAAGTCATTTGAATAAGTAATAATGCAGATATCAAATTTTGGTCAACAGGTCCTTAATCAGCATGTTCAGGAGTATCTATACTGAGATTTTGAACATGACCAAGGAAATGGATTCTGGATTTTAAAAACTCGCACTTCGAGTTTTATTTTGAGGCCTGCTGTGGAAAGTTTGGCCAAAATTTCACGCAGTTTAATCAGATGGGAATCGACGTCCTTACTGACTACTATTAGATCATCCAAATAAGCGCAGACTGTGTTACCAATTAGTCCGGCAAACAGGGTGTTGATCATTCTTTGAAATGTTAGTGGGGCATTTCTGAGACCAAATGGTATTTGTAGAAACTCAAAGTGGCCTAGAGGCGTGCTAACTGCCGTGATTTCTCGTGATTTCTCATCGAGTGGTATTTGCCAATATTTGCCATTTAAAGACATTTTGTCTTCTGAATCTGACAAGTCAGTGACAAACATCTCCACTTTGCTGAGGTCCAAAGATGGTATTTTGACAATTGCCTTTCCAAACATTAGTATCTTGATAAGAATTTTCCTTACCATCCCCATTACAAATTGTGAAGGACAGAGGTCTTTCCCTACTCTATCTAGGGTGAAAAATCACCTGAGGTCTACCGTGGGACAAACCAGATTAAACTCACTTTCATTATTATGCATTGAATCTGGCCGCCTACAATCCCTTGACACAAACAGTATCATTGACAAATTTTCCATGAAAAAAGTAGGAAGAATTTATTTTGAAATTCACAGTTTGCTGTACTTCATGTGCTTGCAAAATTGATTATGCTTCAAGTTAATTGTATTTCTTTCATTATTCCCATATATAAGATGTACATGATATAGAACTAATTTGATTAAAAGTAATGGTGTGTCACTTTGTGTTGAAATTCTTATTTCTTACATTACAGGTATATATATATATATATATATATATATATATATATATATATATATATATATATATATATATATATATATATATATATATATATATATATATATATATATATATATATATATATATATATAATGAACATTATATTCCAAATGATATAACCATCATTTGTACTCGTTTCCATCAAAAATCACTGTACAAAGACCAAATTTGAAAAAAAACAAGCTTTGATCAGTCACCCAGACTCATCCTACATGTTTAAAGCCAAAAACCAAGTTTAAGTTCATCTTGATGCATGGAAAAATTATTCAACTTTTACGTTTGAAAGATTTAATGAATTCAATTACCGGTAAGTACAATACAGTCAGTACACATTAGGCTCAGAGCCCATCCATAAACAGAAGCAGTCACCAGTTACAGTACACTGAACAGTAGCAACTTGGCTTCCTTATTATAATCAGGATTTGAGATGTGTGTAGCCCTGTAAGAAAACTTATTATCATCACTTTCACCAGTGTATAATACATTTAGTTCACATCCATGTCTATATTGAATAACCACAGGGGCATACTCATGCATTTATTTCAAATGTTTCACTTCCTTTCCCATTTACTCTTATTATTGCCCTGCTGTTTTCATATAATGCTTTTACTGCATTTTAATAGCCTTCCTCCCACCCCATACACCTGTAATGCCTCCCACAATGCTTTTCTGTTCACCCTATCATATGCCTTTTCCAAATCAAATATAATTCATTAAAACCACCTGTGAGGGTTTAATAAAACAAAGAAAAAAGACAGATTAAAAAAATATTAGTTTAAATCATTTGGTTTAAACCAGAGGTTGACAGTTGCTTAGGTTTCAGCAGAAGTACCGGTAGAGAAGGACATGGAGGAATACTGCATGACCAATGCATTTATGTGTGCAACTTCTGAGAGGGTGGGGGGGGATTGTTGTTTTTATCAGTGGCCAATGACCTTGTAAATTCTGGACAGTAAATATGTACAAATGGTTTCAGACCTGTATCACAAGCTGGGAAACCCACCCTAATGTGCAGTAACACATTCTACTCGTACTGTACATACTTGGTGTTTTGTCCTAGGTATTTATATCCTTGTTCAATACATTTTACGTTATAACTGCACAGATAACTGCTCAACTCTACCCACCCCTCTAGCCCCCTTACACTCTAAACCTCCTCAATCCCTGTATTACACCGCCACCAGTCCTCCCTCTCTCCCTTGCTTGAGAATACTTCGGATTCAAGACTCGACACTCTCAGGGTTCACACCACACAGAGAGGGTGCATTGACAATGCTGATTGTATCAGTTGGAAGTGGAAGAGGCTGTACCTGGTCCTCCTGAATGATTTATGTACGATTTTGTTTAATGTTTGAATTTTTTCGAGAAATAAAAGGATTTATTAATTAATATTATTTCATTAACCTTCACCAAACTTTTTCATGTAATGACAGAGTTTGTCATTGTTACAACAAGAAGCAAGATTTCATTGTACAGTACACTGTATAAAATGAGATATTTGCACATCTCATACTCAGACAGACTAACAAAAGGTTCAACTGATACATACTGTACAGTAATCCAAAATGTATATCTGTTGGCCAAGGCAATGTTTCATTCTCTGTAATGAAAGCGATGGTCAAGAAACAGACATTTTGTGCTATCAATCAAACCAATTTTAGTCTATGTAAATAAGTAATAAAATTTTTGCATGTACACTACAGTATGTTTATATGAGGGGGATGCTGTAAAATCTCCTAACCTGTAACTGGATTTTCCATATGTAAATTTTCTGGTTCAATAATCTGATTTCTAGAATATACTGGCTTTAGGTTTTATGAACATATAGATATAACCAAGTTTAGATAAATGAAAAAAACAAGATAAATATTTTTTGGGCAATGAGAACTCCACCAAGAATGTTACATTAATACCATTGGGTTGCTTCTTGGTGCATTGATGATCAGTGGTGAGGGATTTAGTAATTTCCAGCTCAACAAGAGGAAGCTTTTTTTTTTCACAGCAAGGAGCTTGGCAAGAGAAAGTATGATTATTATTAAGTTATAATAAATTGATAGCTATCTTTCTATAATGACAAAACTAGAGTTAATAATACTGTACTTGTATCAACATACAGGGTGTTCCTAAACTGTTTCCTATTTCAAATGCAAATAATAACAAACACATACTAACAGGTAGTTTGCACAATCATGTGTCCCAATTAAAATAATGTTTCTTGACAGTCGGTCATCTTTCACATGTGCATCATTAGTAGCTTTCAGAATGTCTGATATTTGATTTTAATCCCCATTTGCCACAACATGTTCTGTGTCACAATGATGATAGGGTTTTTTATCCTGGTCCATACTGCCACTTGATATTTGATTGACATCAGTCCTTTAGACGTTTTCATCTGGGGGTTATGTCTAAGACGTCGTGTATTACACGCCCGAAAAAACGGAACTACAAACCAGGAGAATTAGCACCATCACCAGTGGGACCGAAGAGAAGTTGTGATGAATATGGACTGAAATCAGTTAAGATGTTCTGAGAGCCAAATATGGTGCACAGGTGAAGGTCTACTGACATCATAAAACACCTCTGAGTTGGGCTACATGATGGTACAAACTGTATGCTTTTATGTCTGATGGTTATTCTTTTATTTACTTTGAAATAAGAAAGATAATTAAGGAAAACCCTGTATTTCTACAAAAAGCGCTGGAGTGGTTTACTTTAAACATCAGGACCCTTTAGATCTCCCAAGACCTACCAGTGATGTATGATTAGAAAACTATACAGTACTGAAGGAAAAAAAATTGAAATATCAAATCTTGTCAACCACCTCAGAGCAAAAGTGAATTGGTTACTGAATGTGTTTGTAAACAGCTGTGATCCCCATATTGTTGCAGACTAATTCTTGCAAAATGGTACATACCCAGTACTTGCCAACACTGTGTAAGAGAGAAGTGACCAATAAAGCTAAAGTTAAATCTATACCAAATTATTTTCTGCTAAAATCTCTAACTTCATGTGTCTTACTGTTATTATCATGATAATGTGCCAAGTGAGGGTTTCTTAAACAGGCATACATATGTGACAAGTTCAACGGAGAATATTAATGAAAGCCAAAAGAATGGAAAAATAGTAAAAGCATCAGAGAGGAAAAAAGATGAAGGCCATGATAATGTGAAGTTTGACATAAGCAGCAAACCCCTTACAGCTGCTGTAGTGTCAATCAATTAAAAAATTATAACCTCAGAAATTAGGTTAGCTCTTTCCATACACCTCTGTGGCAGAACTTACATAGGCAACTGCAGCATATTTTGTAATAGGGTTTTTAAGAGAAGTGGGTAAGTGAGGTGTGCAGAAATATAAAATGCCTGAAAATGATCAGGTTGTTCATTGCTCTGTGGGGGTTGGCAAAACTTGAAACAACAACTTAAAATTCTTCAGTTTGTGCTTTGACAAGTAAGCTAATAATATACTGTAAATGTCTTTTAACAAATCTGATTGGCTTAAATTTACTACACCCTAATCCTATTATTCCTAAATGTATTATAAATTTGGTAACTCAAACTGAAGCATTTCATATAAAAAATACATATTGTACAGTACTTTAAATTAAACTAAAAGATGGCAACAATTTTGAAAAATAAATACTACTAATAATAAAAAAGTAATTGTAAGGTAATTGAGACTATACTGTACTTTAAATTCTTTTCAAAGTACAGTATAATCATTTCCTTTTGAGCAATCATGATTCTTTCTGTGCTTGAAGCCCCATGAAGATCTCGTTGGTTTGCTGAGTAACACGGATGAAAGTGGTACGTTTTGGCAGTTCCTTAAGTTTCCCAGCACCAGTATATGTACATGCAGAACGTAAGCCACCCAAGATATCCAAGATGGTGGAGTTTACATCTCCCTTGTATGGGATTTCGACAGACTTCCCTTCACTCGCTCTGTGGGACAAAATTGCCAAATTATATTTTTATACACTAATAATGTACAATAATATCTCCGTTAGCCGGAATCCCTCAAACCCGGAACTCTCCGATAGCCGGAATTGAAATTTTCTCGGAAAATCGTTCCCAAAGCCGGAAAGTTTTGGGGATGAGGGATTTTTTCCGGCTTTGAGAGAGTTGTCTCATTACCTGGAAATCTCTCATTCCCGGAAGTGGTCTGCACCAATTGTTCTGGCTAATAGAGATATCACTGTATCTCCATTGTTTAAAGTCACAAAATTTGTATGTAAATCTTATTAAAGGATATCATAACAAACGAGGAGGGTATGGTCCAACAACACCTTCTCACCAGTCACCATACAGTGTGTCATTCAGATTAACTGTTACGTTCAAGATAAGCCACAATCAAATATTACAAAATACAATGGGATAGAAGAGATGAGGTATCAACTGCCACATTAGGTACAAACGCAGACACTACTGAATATCATAACTATAAAATGACCCATTTGATCGATAAATATACCCAAGACCAAACCCATGCTTTAGAATACGGTACACATGAACCATGCGAAAATTAGAAAAACCCAGAATTCAAGGCGGGTCAACGATCAAGACAGAGGATGTATGCAAGAGCCAGAAACCAGCAAGATAGAGTGTAGGAGGGCTGAAAAGGTTAAAGGCTGGTTGCGCGAGTCAATCAAACCAAAGCTTTCGCTATCAAAGTCGAAATTCAGTAGTATCAGACCTGAGGCTGAAGATGGTATTCGAGATTCTACCAGGATAAAGCTGAGGCATGAACAGCTTCTTTCCTCAGTGTTCAGAGGATGCAACTAACCTTCTGCGTTTGAGACGACAGTTCGACACAGCACTGACCCACATTGTGTTCAGAAGAGGTATAAATAAACTGTCGCTAAGGTCCATAAGAGTCTGGACCTGACATGTGCATCCTAGAGTGCTAAGGGCTGTGCAACAGCTTGCAGGCCCTGAAGATTCTGTTTGTAAATGCCTGGATGAACAAATGGTCCCAGTGAATGGAAAGTGGTTATGTGAGTCCTATCTTCAAGAGGCGATAGGCACTCCACGAACAACTATGACCGTGAGCCTGACCAGCATAATATGTAAGTACTTGAGAGTATTATCAGAGATGCAGCGATGAACATCTACCGAAACAACCTTGTAGATTGCCAACACGTTTTATGCAGGCTCTTATACACATTGCTCAAGGTATTGGATTTTGGACCCATATTCTAGACGTGGTAATATCGACAATATTACCTAGATTTTGCCAAGGCCACAGGTACCCACGAGGCTGAAAATCAAACTGAAGATCGAATAAATGTCCTGCGATAGAAGACTCTACATGACCGCCAACAATGTGATTAATGCACAAATCGTCATCTGTACCTGTAACAGACGCGGGTAGTGTATTGCCCGCTGTTGTTTGTTTTCAAATGATATCCTGACGTTGTACACTCCCATATTTGCGCAATTTTTGTAGAACGGACTTGAAGGCCAGAAGACCTCTGTGGCTCAGAATGTGAATGCTGCTGAGTATAGTGTAGAGATGCACTCTACACGAAGGCGCCAATGCCCAGGATGAAGAAAATACTAGTTGAGATGGTGAGAAGGACCTAGGTGTGTAGACAAGGCTGAAGCTCGGCCATTGTGAGAAGAGAAATCAGGCAAATTGGGTCTTATAGAGGCGTTCAGATATCTCGGCCGCGATCTTCAGGGTGAGTCTTCCCCACGAGTACTGTCACCCACTGGTCCCAGATATGCTAGGACTGTCAGTTGTTGAAAATGTTCAAGAGGCCACCAGCTGGTCCCAGCATCTCAGCTACCCTCTGCGCCTGAACGCCTAGCTTACTCAGCGCAGGACCAGGAGGTTATCACCAGGCACTACTCAGTTAGTGTCCTTACGACTGCGCCGCCCAAGTCACTAGTGAAACAAGCCGAAACCGTGAGGCAACTTTTTGAGAGGTTGTAAACCTGAACAATCACCAAAAGTGTTGTGGCACATGTGAGCTCTTTCAAAAACGACCAACACTGGGCGGTTCACATTCAGGCGTGCATGCAGTATTGCCAACAGTCGTGACAGACGACGATCGGGCGCAGGTGAAAATATAAAGGAAAAGTGACCGATCCAACAACGATCAGTGGCGAAGAGGATAAAAGTAAAAAAAGTAAAAGTAAAGGATATCATGAGATTCAAGGCCAGTAACAGAGATGGCAAAGGGGAATATCTGATAAATACTATATAGGAGTATAGGTATTCTTACCGATATTCGGCTACGCCACCAGAATACTTCTGCATTGCTGTGGCGCTGGACATGCCATAAAACTGCTTCATCTTCTTTCCATTACGTTCTATTATTTCTCCTCCAGACTGATCGTGGCCAGCTAACATTCCCCCCATCATAACAAAATCTGCTCCAGCTCCAAAAGCCTTAGCAATGTCTCCAGGACAAGTGCACCCACCATCCTGTGGAATACACTAACAGTTAGGGCATATGAGAAAAAAAGATTGTTTGAGAGGGGGAAGAAAAATATTCTTATTCTTATACAGGTACAATACTGTACATATTATTATACACCTTATATAATTTTATTTTATTCTTGAATAACCTACCATGCAGTGGGATAGAGACGAGAATTAAAAAATACAGCACTGGTACTATTATATAAATTTTTTTTCATAACTTATATAATTTCTTGCAATCAGGTATAGTACTTCAACAATTTACTAAATAATAATACTTATTCGTTAAATTGTCATATAGGTTTGCTATTGGACTGGAATGTATATATAGTAGTATACTATGCCTTAATACAGACAGGGCAGGTATACACTGTACGATCATTATGCAGTAATCCGGGTTTCGGCTTAATAAGTATACCACCAGACCCTCGCTTTATGTTATGGTTGTGTTCTGTGACAACACAGCATAATGGAAATCTGTATACAGTATAGTGAATACTTAATCTTATGGGGAATACAATATTAGGATATGTTCCACAACTACTAGAAGTCAATAGTAATGCTATAAAAGTTGTGGAAAAACATTACAATACTGTAATGTGGGTTATAAAATAAAGATAATATAATATAAAACTATAAAATACTGTATAACAAAAAAAACTATAAGCTAAGACATATGAAGTGAAAGTGTGTGGAGTGGCTGACTCATCACTCCAGCTGCATCCCGTGAGTACGCATCCAGCATAGTAGACACACACTGTGCCACATTTCACAACCATTTCTAGAGCATTACTGCTGTAAAAATTGTAGAAAAATCATTGAAATATTCAAATGTGGCATTTCAGGAAATTGCAAAAAAAATTTCCTGAACTCAGAAAATTCCGGGAATGAGGGATATTTTTCCAGGTTCGAAAGATGATGTAATGCGCAATTTCTGGAACTTCCAGGAACATTCTTCCATTACACGGAAAATTCCGGGAATGAGGGATTTTTTTTCCGGCTCTGAGAGAGTCGTCTCGTTACCCGGAAATTTCTCATTCCCGGAAGTGCTCTGCACGAATTGTTCCAGCTAACGGGGATATCACTGTATACTGCTCTCTCACAATTGGAATTTGAAGGATTAAATATTACAAAAAACACCAAGTCACCTCGGAACCCACAATTTACAAGTACTGTACTTAATAAGCATTGAAAGAATGCCATTAAAAATATTTGCTTGCGGAATACATACTCCCTGTAATTTCAGATAGACTATTTTATGGGGGAAGCCAAGTCACGGTAATTGAGTATGTGTGTTGGTTGGAATAGTAAGGAGCAATGTGAACAACCTGAACAGAAAACGAACGATAAATTTATCTAAAAAAAAAATTGAAATTGTTGAATAATTTGAAAGTACAGTATTCCAAACTCGACTAATTCGGAATTTTCGGTAAATTGAGTGATCTAGAGCCCCTTTTTTTGTGGAATTAACAAGGGTATGGCATACGGTGTATAATGTACATAGACCGTGAGAGTACACAACTTATCATATACTGTACCTAGGCAATGCTGTTTACAAGGCCAGTCAATTTAATGTATATTTTGCTCATTTAAAATATACCTGTACTTTATATAAAAATTAAGTGCTCCATTTACAGTACATCTTGATCCAGTATAGTTTGGTTAGGTGTGCATGACCTATAATAAACTACAGTGAAATGGAAACTAAAGTGGAACAGAAAAATGGAAACTAAAGTGGAACATAAACAACTGGTAATAAGAGGCATCTCTTACAGATATGATGTGTCCATCAAGGCCATGCGCAGCATCAGCACATTCTAATACAGCTGAGAGCTGAGGATATCCAACCCCAGCCTTCTTTCTGGTGGTACAGACTGATCCTGGTCCAATGCCCACTTTAATGATATCAGCACCAGAGAGAATTAGTTCTTCAACCATCTCTCCTGTTACCACATTTCCAGCCTGGAGAAAATAAAAACTAAACCTGGAGGAAAGAATTAAACTACAGAATAACAGTACTGTTACAGTACAGAACCTGGATACAACAATTTGCTATTAATAATTAAATTGGTAAACCAATATTGCTCTACAATGAATTGATCAGCTTTTGTTACCACCCAGTTGGGCAAAGACTCAATCCCTTTGATGTATTTTACACTTAAGAATATGAATTTCCTTTTCAGGATGTAACACTTTTACTTAGATTGATCATAAACCCTCTGAAGGATTCCTTTGTTTCACAATGAACATAAAGGAGAATGCAATAAACTATGTAATAGTATATCTTGGGTTATGACACAGGTTTGTAAGATCAGGGTGGATTGATTAGAGAAGTTGTTGTACAAGGAATCTGCTAATGGACCAAAATGATTCACCAGTGGTAAGTTTGGAAAGAATGGTTTGTATTTTGGACTGAAAGAAAACTCATTTTTGCTCTGCTGATGGTCTGTCTAGCATGGTTATAAAAGGGCATATATACAGTACTGTACTGTACTGTAGTTTGCAAGTTTCTTTGTTTTGGCAGCATTTGTTGTCTGTAAGAGCCTTGGAAAAAAGGTTTGTTATTATTGTATCAATAAGGTTAATGATATTGTTTAACACCCAGAAAGAGATAACTTACAAGAATAGTGTGATCAGGGTAGTGCTTGCGAACTTTCCTGACATACTCGACAAACACCTCCGAGTAACCATTGGCAACATCTAGGCAGATGAATTTGATCTGTAAAGAGATTCTGTTGTCAATTCTAATACTGTATGTAGAAATTATAATATGAACTACAACAGGCATTCATGTTAAAAATGTATTAAATCACAATTAAAGACTTGTATGATCTACTGGAGGACTTTTTACTATGCGTATACAGTATCGATATGTTTTTATACAAGATTATAAAATTATGTAATACTAATACAGGCATATCCCGATAACTGACGCATATAGGGACCGGAAAAAGTCGTTGGTTATCGAAGCAATTAATCCCATAAAAAACACAACAAATTCAGGGGGTTAGGGACAGACCACCCTCCAAAAACTCCCATTTACCTATACTGAAATTTTGAACAAAATCCATTTTTTGGCCGAAATGACGAAAATTGTAAGTCTATAGCCTTAAAGGATTTTTGACCAAAAATACGTTTTCTCTCTGAACTAAAATTTAATGTGCCTAACTATTTAAGTACATCCAGAATAATACACAAGCACCAAGAAAATGACCTCGAAAAACCATAAGTGGCGAGGAATTAG